TGATGGTGATGAGATGATGGTGATAAGGTGATGGTGATGAGATGATGGTGATAAGCTGATGGTGATGAGATGATGGTGATGAGATGATGGTGATGAAATGATGATGATGAGATGATGGTGATGAGATGATGGTGATGAGATGATGCCGGGTATAAGATGAGAGTGGTGATGATGAAAACAATAAAACAGAAAGACAAGACAGACACACAAGAAAGACAAGACAGACACACAAGAAAGACAAGACAGACAGACAGACAAGACAGACAGACAAAATAGGCAAAGTAGAGAGGATATAGATAACCAGACACGGAGATAAATGTAATACTTTTTGTACCTTGTGTCGATATGTTACGGGCTCCGGTAACACACCAATTGTTTCAGGTTTAATAGGATTGAGAAAACTACGCTGAAGCTGTTCCCGACCATTCAGTTGACCTGTAGATACGATGAACACGGAAAAATTTGTAAAAGAAATATTCGTATGATAAATATGAATCGTATAGAACATGTTCACGTGACGTCACAGCGGCTGTGTTGGTGTACCAAAACAATACATTTTCTATCCTCCGGGAATATGAACCCCATTTTTATGCAAATACTGTGCAGAAAGTTTCTATTGTTTGGTACACCAATATGGCTACCTTGTCACGTGACAACGCTCTATGCAATCGTACGCGTTTACAGGGTCCTGGGACGCCTTTCATCCCCCCCCCTCCCCAATGGCATTATATTTGTAATGCGCATGGTTAAGGCGATGAGGGGCGTGAGGGAGGGATGATTGGTTGATTCGAGTTGGTGGCCAGTCTTCTTGGTGGAAAACCCTTGGTATGCCCATAGGAAGCCACACAAGATTAGAATAGAATATCAAATTATTCATAATAGTCCCCTTCACAGTTCTCTGTGCCATCTTGAAAGGTAGCTGTGCCTTTGCATCGAAGCGAGATGAACGGTGAGCTTGCAATGATAAGGAGCTGTTTTTAGCACCTTGAACAATTATTCACACGTCTCTATCATTGCAAGCTCACCGTTCGTCTCGCTTCGATGCAAAGGCACGGCTACCTTTCAAGATGGCGCAGGGAACTGTGAAGGGGACTATTCCTTACCATTCAGCATTTTTCCTAACGCTCTGTCCTCTGTATGATCGAGATGAAAATGTGACCTCAAGATTGTCCCGTTCATTCGGGATTCCCGTAAGATATCCCGTCTGATCCTAGCTCGGTCCCATCTTCTAAATACTATGAACAGGATCATGATGAGGATCACTTCCAGAAATAAACCAATGATGTGTCGTTCCATAACCTGGAATTTAAGACAATTGCGTAAGTTGCGTGTTGTGGGATACCTGTGTTACTGATTATTCTAATATTTGTGGTGATTTGCTCAGAAATCACGATCAAAGACTGGGGGCTCAGTGAATATTCCACCGAGAATAACTGAATGACGAATGGTCTTAGTAAAACGTTACCTCAATCTGTTCTTAATACTGGCAAACGAAGAAACACTACTCAAGGGAATGGTCTTAGATAGTAAAACGTTATTCCCAAACAGAATGATTCCCCAAACAACAGCAAGATTGAATGTTTACATTACCTGTATGTTTAAACTCTTCAATTGTTTGCTAAATTTCTTCATGTCGCGGCTAGTGTCGTCTACCTTGGATTGTAACGCCGATATTTGTTCCTTTTGACTCTTTATCTGTTGATAACAATAATAAAGATATTAATACAGAGTCATGAACGACTGACACGGAAAATGTTAGGACGTTTATCACAAGTCGCCATGTTAGTATTGCCATCCAGCTGATCTGTGAAAAAATGTTAGCTAATCAGAATCGAGACAATGTAAAACTGAGGTGTCACTTGTGGATTTCAGGTTACCAAATAACTAATGTTATACATTTTTATTGCAATAGTGGACAGGTTTTTATTTTTCACTGGTCAATTTTTGTAGGCTTCATGACACCTCAGTTTTCCAGTGACTCCATTCCTACGTCACTATTTCAGATCAGCTGGATAAGAATGAAAACGTTCGTATACATACACATATATCACTATACATACTGAAACGGTTGAATAAGAGGCCGTGATAAAGGTCCATGTCAATAGAGAGTTTTAGATTGACTTTTTTCTTCTTCCCGCAAACGGCAAACGTGACCACGTTTTCATCGTTTTCCTGTATTTTACTTAACCTCTTGCAAACTTTCTCACCAAGCGCAGAATATTCTTTTGTTTTTCTACTACTTTGATTTTTTTGCGATTCCTTTTCAGTTATTTAAAAGAATTTTTCACTGATCAACTGACGTTACACATTTGCCGTGAACGCCAATCTAAAACTCTCAAATATCTCATCAATGCGACCCGTGTTCGAGTCCCGCCGGGTTCGGTGTTGTATATGAGTAGAGTTGTTTGTTGGTTCTCTCCTGTGCTTCGAGGGTTTTCCGGGTTCTCCGGTTTTCCTTCCTCCGCAAAAATCAACTACTAAATTCCACTTCGATCACCGAATGAGGGCCACAGGTTTCTTAGCCACTGGCTATTAAGTGCTACCCTCGTGAAAAAAGGACGAATATGCTAGACTCTCTTACCACTGCTTCAGCTTTTCTTGTGGCGTTAGTCAACAGGTTAACCTTCTTGTCCAAATTCTTTTGCATATCCTCGACAATCTTACGGTACCTGAGGAATGATATCAGATTGAAGGTAATTTAGTATTCGATAAACGAATCACTCAATCAATCGCCAAACAGCAGATATGACCGAGTAAAACCTTGCCGAGTCGCAGCAAAGCCTTCCTAAAGTCCCTAGCGGGAATATATGTCTTTATTGTGTTCTGAAACCTTTAAGGAGGTTTTGGCAGAAGTCTATTGGGCTTCGAGTTTCAGTAACGAACTCAACAAGTACTTTACACGCAGTGAAAACTTCTAAAATCGTAAAATCCGGTTATAACATCTCCCCTCCCGGGTTCAAGATAAGCACGAGTTTACTTGTACGCTAACGCAAACGGTCCTTCAAGTTATAAGCCTTCAACCCCTATCCGGTCATGAGTCCACCTCTCAAAGTATCTCGCATATTTCGTTGATTCACATAAAAAATTAATTGGGAAGACAATGAAAATAAAATGTTCTCTTCATCCTAAATTATATCCCCCTCGAATATAAGCCCTGCCGGTTATAAGTCCGCCCTCCCTCCCCCCTC